AGATATATATAACAGATTAACAATTTCTGCAGTATGCAATATAATTCTGTTTTTAAATTATTTGTAATAATAAAGTGGAATAAATATAAATAAGAAAGATTTGTTAAGCTCTTGCAAAAAACTTGCCAAGATTTTGCCATGATTTTCTTTAACAAGATTTACTGAAAGGGAAAGCAATAAAATGAAAAAAAAAACTCAGATTTCATTGTAATGCTTTCACTTTGGAAGTCAATCTATCCCTCACTGCTTAAGACAAGGGTACCAAACCCCTGTCCATGGACCAGCACCAGTCTGCAGTGTGCCAGAAACTGGACTGTGCAAACAAGCGAAGCCCCATCTGCATGATAAAAGCTGCACACGAAACCGCCTCCCCTCCGGTGGGTGGAAAAACCTGTCTCCACAGAACCGGTCCCTGGAATCCAAAAGGGTGGGGGTCGTTGTCTTAAGATAAATACTTTTTCAGTGTTTATTAATAACCCTTCTATGAGCCAGCAGGGAAACAGTTCACCAAGGAATGTGCAAGTAGGCAGGCTGTGAATTTCTCTCAACCTCTCAACATACCATTAGAGATTTTATAATAAAAAAAATCCAAGCACAGACATTTAACTCTATGCAACAATGAATGTTGCCATGTACTATTTCAATGTTTTGAATATTATTAGGCTACAATCACAAGTGAGTCCAAAATTTCTGTTGCTAAGTGAGACAGTTGTTAAGTGAATTTTGCCCAATTTTACAGCTTTTCTTGTCTCATTAAGTGAATCATTGCAATTGTTAAATTAGTAACTTGGGTTGTTAAGTGAATATGGCTTTCCCATTGACCTTGCTTGAAAGAAGGATTACAAAAGGATCCCACATGACACTACAGGACACCACAACTGTCATAAATATGAGTCAATTGCCAAGCATCTGAATTTTGATCATGTGGCCATGGGGGTGCTACAATGGATATGAGTTTAAAAAATAGTCATAAATCACTTTTTTCAATGCCGTTGTAACTTTGAGTGGTTATTAAATGAATTGTTGTAAATCAAGGACCACCTGTATTAGAGTCCCAGAATTTCTTTCTTTTTTAAGTTTAGATAACTGACAATCTGGTACGCTTTTATCTATTTCGATCCTTTGTTCAATGACTGTTCAAAATTAGAGTGGCACTGAGTGAAGGGACTCTCAATTGGTCTACAAATTTCTGGCCATGGTAGCATCTCCATGATCACGTAAACAAAATGTGGGCAGCAACTGGCAAGCAGCTTATGACTTGTAGAATCCTTTGGTCATGTGATCACCATTTCCAAACTTTCTGCAGGCTTTCCACAGGAAAAGTCAATTTTTTTTCTCATCCTGATGTTTCTTTGACAAAAAAAGGAATAAAAACAAATGTCAGATTAATAAATTTATGCAATGTAAATGACTGTCAAATATTTTTCTTCAGCTGGCTGGATGGAACTCCAGTGACATATGAAGCCTGGTCCTCTGGTGAACCCAACTTTGCAAATGATGATGAAAACTGTGTAGTTATGTATTATTATTCAGGCAAGTAAAATAAAAACCTTCATGTTTTAACAGTTTTATGTATGTATATGTTCAGGATAAGGCACAGCATTGTTTAACTTGGGCTAACTGGCACACATTATTATAGGTCCTATCATTAATTTTGTAACTCTAATTAACATGTTTTACATTGTGATGTAAATATTTACCTTTAACAAAATATTTTGTAACATTATAGCATATTTTCCAACCAAGAATTTAAAATTTCATATGTAGATCCAACTCTATTTTGCTTAGTTACTGTATCATACTTCCCCAGGGAAAACCAATTTCCAATTTGTAATTCTCATAGACCCCAAATAGTCTTGCTAAGGGTCAGGAATTAAGGCAATTGCATTCCAAAACAGACAGACAATCACCTATCCATCTCTTCTATAGAACCATATTTTGGAATTATTAACATACAGACTACAAAAATAAGAATGCAGTAGTCCTCACTTATTGTCCACAATTGGGACTGGCAACTCCATCACTAAGTGACAAAGTCATAAAGTGAAAGACACATGACCGCACCTGACATACCGTGGTGGTTCCAGCTGCACTTGTTCAGCAAATTACCTGCAGTCATTAAGCAGAATGTCATGTGTGTGACTTGCAGGTTTCTGCCATCTTTCCCATTGATTTTGCTTATCGAATGCTGCTTGGGAAAGTCACAAATGACAATTACATGACCATGGGACACTGAAACAGTCTTAAATGTGTGTCAATTGCCCTGTTCCTGAATTACAATCATGTGACTGTGGAAATGTAGCAATGGCTGCAACTTTGAGGACTGGTCCTAAATCTTCTTTTTCAATGCCATTGCAATTTTTGAATACTTACTGATTGGATGGTAGTAAGTGAGGATTACCTGTATTGTTTCACAAATATGGCAGGATTCTAGTATGTACTGTTGCACTTTCCATTATTGTTCTCATCTTCATTATTTCAATTGCAACATATATATGAACTGTTGCTATTTACTTTAAGAATAATTTAATCTTCTCAGCTGACAACATAACTTCTTTGACCAGGTGCATGGAATGATATAAACTGTGGTGCTAAGAAAAGCTTCATCTGCGAGAGATACAATAGCTCCGTCCGTACAACTGCGGCACCCACATTACCTGCAACTCCAAAAGGGTGCAGTGAAGGCTGGCTTTGGTTTAATGACAAGGTAACAGATGTAGCTAATTTAAATATTTTGAGATAATATCCCTGTTCAAACATCATAGAGGCAATCCAGCTAGTCCTCAAGTTATGACCACAATTGAGCCCAAAATTTATGTTGCTAAGTTTGTTAAGTGAGTTTTGCTCCATTTTATGACTTTCCTTGCCACATTTGTTAAGTGAATCATTGCAATTTTTAAAATAGTAACACTGTTGTTAGGTGAATCTCGTTTTCCCACTGACTTTGCTTGTCAAAAGTCCGCAAAAGAAGATCACTTGAGCCTGGGACACTGCAACCATCATAAATGTGAGTCAGTTATCAAGCATCCAAATGTAAATCATGTGACCATGGGATTACTACAACGGTCATAAGTGTGAAAAATGGTCATAAGTCACTTTTTTCAGTGCCGTTGTAACTTTGAACGGTCATTAAATGAACTATTGTAAGTCGAGGACTACCTATATGTATGCTAAATACATGGATATCACCTATAGCTGATATTGTCTATAGCAATAGACCTCTCAGTGAACATAGGAAGTTTAAAGAAATATTTCTTCATGGTGCTACATCACATCTATTTTATTAGGTACAATATTTGAACAGAGTAACAATGCCACAAAAAAGAAATACCTGTAACAATAAAAATGAAAAATATGAAAGTCACCAGTACAAAAAGAGCCATGTTTCTTAGAAATAGATTTAACACTTCAGGTAAATGCCATTTTTGCTCTTACTTCCATAAATGTAAATGGAATTTTAAATATGTTTTCACTTCATTTTTCCCTACTACTTTTATTAATATTTATTATTAGTATTCCTCAACCATAATTGAACCATCAATTACCATCATAAGTCATGCTGATCATTAAGTGGGTGATCATGTGACTAACTTTTTTTAATACAGCAGTCGTTTAGTAAATGTGACAGTCATACAGTGAATGCAGCTATCATTAAGCAAATGCCATTGTCATTAAATTAACTCACTGTCTTCAATAGGCAAGTTTTTTTCACGGAAAACAGAAGCAAACATCAGTTTTCAGCAAAAAAAAAGTAATAAATTGTGGTCATATGACTATGGGACATTTCAAATATCTATAAGTGTGGACTTATTGCCAAATGCCCAAAATGTGATCACATGTGATATATTGTGAGAGGGAGGCAGCCATCAAAACTTTAAATTCAGTTCATAATTACCTTTTTGGAGATCTCTTGTAACTTTGAACAGTGACTAAGTGACAGATTATAAATTGAGGTCTTGCTGTAACTTACAGTTTTGAGGTACCTATTCATAAGAAATGTCATTTGAAATCTTGCTTCGTTGAACTTTATCTCAAATGCCACCAAGATTTTGAAAGATTCAGACACTTTCTTTTTTCATTAGTCTCTTTCTCCTGGTATTACCAGAACTAGGATAGCAGGGACAAACCTGGCTGTATAATTATCATTAATAGAAAAATATTAAGAAGTCAATTACGTCACAAAGAGCAGATAGGAATCCATATAATTAAGTCAAACATGCTAACTTTTATTATTGTTTATATTTTTCCCAAATGAAAGCGGGGAATTTAATTTTATTAGTACCGAATTACTTTCTAAGTTCTGTTAAAAATTCTGATTTCATTTGTCAATATATGATTATATATTGGTTGTTTCTATTCCTTTATTTAATTAATCCTTCCTTGATTAATTAATCAATTAATGAAGGAATTAATTAATCCCTTCTTATCCTTCTAGTGCTTCCAAATATTTGGCTTCAGAGAAGAGGAGAAGAAAAACTGGAGCGCTGCACGGGATCACTGCAGAAATCTAGAAGGAAACCTGGCTAGTATACCAAACAAAGCTGTTCAAGGTACAGTCTCTTCTCTAAACCACATTGACTAGTAACATTTCTTTTAAAATCCAGGAATCTCATCTTGAGTTACTATTATAGCAATTACTATGCCCAATCTTATTTCTTAACCTCCAGTTTATACAAACTTTTGCCACTTGGGAGGAGCTAAAAGATATTAATTTATTAATGTATTAATCCACCTACTTGCTCACAGTGACTCTAAGTGGCTTACGGACAATAAAAACACAATGTATAAAAAATAAAAATAATAAAATAAAATAACAATCCCCCCCCAGTGACAACACATACTCAAATCAGCCATTTAATGGGCTCCATCCCACTCTGAGTTCCCCAGGCCCACTGGCAAAACCACATCTTCAGGGCTTTATGAAAAAATATCAGAATGAGGGCCAGTTTAATTTCCGAAGGGATGATGTTCCAGAGGGAGGCAGCCACTATGGAGAAGGTCCTTCTTCTGGGTGCTGCCAGATATACCTCCTTAGGACAGGTGACCTGTAACTTTGCCTGTCTTCCCGCTTTAGTGGGTTGGGTGGATATGACCGGCAAGAGACAGTCCCTCAGATTACCTGGTCCCAAGCCATGAACAATTAAAGGTGACAATCAGCACCAGGTTTCATGTTATTGCTACTGTTCATTGATTTGATTGGACATGTCTGTGCTATTTCATGTGCTGTGCTGTGCTGTTTTTACTTTTTTGGTGGATTTGGCAAGCCACCCAGAATCTGATAAAGTGAGCAACCATAACAAGACCAACATAGCTAAAATGCCAAGTTTATAAAAAAAAATATGGGTGTCTGCTGGCAATAGCAATTGCAATAAAGTTAGTGACTCTTCTAAAGATATCCGGTGACTTGCTAACTAATCAGAAGAAATTTTTTACTGATCCTATAGTTTAGCTAATCAGCATGTGAGCAACTCTTACCCCCAAATACTGCCAACCAACAGCAATGAGTGTGGCTCTTGACTACTCATCAGGAACATGAGATAGAGGCTACAGTCTGGATAACCCAATTTATGGCAGCAGCTTAAAACAAAGGACAAAATTGTGCATCTTTTCTTCTGTTAATGGTCTTGGTACCTTCCATTATCCAAAAGGAAGGAATCCTTTTGCAAGAATGTACCTGGCAGGCAGAAACAATTAGATATAGGCGGTCCCACAGATAGCCACGCCCCATGCTATGAAAGGCTTTATAGATGATAGAATGTTCGTATGATGGGAATATAGAAATGGCTGTCATAAATATTGTATGTGAGCAGAGTTTGGCCTGGTACACTGAGATACTTTTTAAAATCCAATATTATCTAAGTAAATTTTTAAAAAGTTGGAACAAAATATAATTGGTGATGGGTCTGACAATACTTCATTGTAAAATATATCTGTACGCATTCCCCCGTCAGCTTTTCTCACATTGCAATTAAAAAATGCGACTGGTAATACTTGGATTGGATTTACTGACACAAATTCATGGGGAAGTTTCCTCTGGACTGATGGAAGTGGAGTCTATTTCACAAACTGGGCTAAAGGGTCACCTCGTTCATACAATGTAAGTCCAATTTGTTGGGGGTTTTTCTGTTCTATTTCCCCACAAATGTGTGGTTAATGTCCTTGATCCTGAATTCCTGCAATGATACAATATATATATAAATTTAATAAATGAATAAATAAATGAATAAACCAGATCTAGAACAAGCATTATGATTGTGAAGAGATTATAAAGAGCCCTTATTGGGGAAAAGGTAATTTGAGTTCAGAATTCAATCTGAGCATCAAAACACATTAATTAAACTAAGTAGTTAGAATTGCAAAGTTGCTTTCAAAAGAGAATTTTCCTTTCTATCTTTTTCTTTTAAATTGCCAATGGGATAAGAGTTTCACTAGGAGAATGTATCAAGTTTCAGATTTAACTCCCTCCGACCCAACTTTCCTTCAACTGTGTACACTAAACTTGTGTTCACCACAAGTGTTTAGCTTGCCTTAGGTAGCTTAGGAGCACCCTGTCTGAAACTTTCTATGGGATTTTCAGAGGTAAAATGAATACCTTAAACTTAAAATAAGAGGTCTTTGAGACCTACCTTTTAAGGTGATATTTCAGATCTTTTCTGTTTGTTAAATTAAGTCTGTTGTGCTTTCTCATCAATAGAGGGTGATACAATACTGAAAAAAATCAGTATTATTCCTATCTCTATATATATAGATGAAAAATATGCCATGCATATTATTATTTTTGGAAGAATTTTATTATTGGTAACACTCACTTAAAGAAAAAAAGACTCAGTATAATGAAATTTAAAATAAAAAATCTATAGAAATAAAAATATATAAAATTAAAATAATTATGAAGAAGAAATGACCCTGTCAAGTTTAGAATGTATGATACAAAAAGCTTGCTACAGTCTTCAGATTCACACTATAGCCTGTGGCAGCATCTTCCTTCAAATAAAAGATTTCATCCAATGATAGAGGCTCAGTATGCTTCTATTGTATATGCTTCAGGATGCTTCTTTGCTAGACTCTATAGGACACAATGACAAATGACAGCTAGTCATATGGTGATCATCTTATTTAGTTTCCAGAAACAAAAAAACCACATTTTTTTTTCTTTTGAGATTATAAAGGAAGGATTCCAGAAAGACTGTTCCAATCATGATACCAGTGATTGTATTTGGCTTTCTTGTTATGCCTAAATATTGTAGGGTGACTGCGTTTTTATGATGAGAAAACCTGAAAGGCTTGCAGGATATTGGAGAGTTGGATCCTGTTCTTCTCAGAGGAGCTACATCTGCCAAAAAAATACTGGTAAGTTTATAGAAGTCTTGGATAATAATTCAGTTTCAGAGAATAAGGACATGTAATTTAGATCAGGAGTCCCCAACCTGTAGGCTGTGGCCCACTAGTGTGCCATGACGGGTTTACAACTGGGCTGCAGAAACATATGATAAATTTGTGCGGGTGCACAGGTATCTTGCACGAGCAGTGGGCAAGCGCATGCACTCCATTTGCATAAGCGACAGGCATGTGTAGATGCTGCTCGCACAAATGGACCTGCACATGACCCACTTGCCAGCCGCTTGTACAAACCATCCACTCCCCCCACCACTTACAAAGCTGGAACTACGATTTAGATTATCTTCTACAGCTTAGTATCAGAATTTGAAAAAAGTGAATTTGTGAGCTATGAGTTTGATGATTAGATAGAATAGGTTCTAGAAAGGATCAATGATACAACTTTATGTAGACAGAGAGGTTAAGCATATATAAGCATAGATATATGTCAGTGGTGGCGAACCTATGGCACGGGTGCCAAAGGCGGCACGCAGAACCCTCTCTGTGGGCACGCGCGCCGTTGCCCCAGTCCTAGGCCTTCAGCTGGGTTTATAAAACCTTTTTGCTTTAGGCCTCCGCCACTGTGTGCAAAAAAAAAAAAAAGGTTCAATCAATGAGTCAATTTCAACTTCTCGCAGGAAAAAAAAGATCTTGCAAAGTTGGAATTGATTGATTTAACTTTTTAGTTCCACCCAGTCTGCCGTTACCATCGCAGCCACGCCCACCCAATGGGCCACACCCACCCAATGGGCCACACCCACCCAATGGGCCACACCCACCCAATGGGCCACACGCACCCGGCACCCGACAATGCATAAGTGGGTTTGGGGTTGCAGTTTGGGCACTCGGTCTCTAAAAGGTTCGCCATCACTGATATATATAGTTATAATTGGTATGAAGAACATTGGAATCTGTTTCTTTATATTCTTTCCTAGTTTTCTTCAACTTTTTTCTTTTTCTTTTCTTAAATTTTCATTTTTGCTTGATTTCTTTCCTTTTATTTCTTCTTCTCTAATTATGTTAGTTTGTGTTAGATTTTATCATCTTTTTAAAAAGTTTCAATAAAAATTATACATATAAAAAGAAAAACTTAGGTGAACAAACATGTTTGAGCCAAATAAGATTGCAACAAGCCAGATATGCTAATCAAGAAAGTACATTGTGAAGGAAATTGTAAACTTAAATAACAGTACCATCAAATTCAGGAAGTATTTAAATAAAGTGAACCAATAAACATAATATCTGAAGCCCAATATAAAGGCTTTTAGTAGCATTGAATTAGTTATTTGGCCAAAAGGCCAAATGTAATTTCACACACACACACACAAAGCTGTCTCCTGCTATTGTTTTTGAAACGAATATCTAGACTGAAATTTCTAATAGCCTGAATATATAAGTTTATAATTTTACTGGTACCAGTATTTAACCGATGTCTTGAGTTCATGAATTCACACATTTGGGCTAAATAAAGATATACATGCAATATTATACCTCAAGAAGGTCTCCTTAAAGTGATTCACTGTACCTATTTGTTTAATGTGCTCTTGACTTTGTATGAAGTATTGTCGTGGTGTGGAACTGAGAGGATATTCTAAGAAAAGATAGAAATTAAATATTAAGGTTTTTCAGAATCAAATAAAAGCAGTATTCATTTTTAGAACTGAGTGCAGTCTTGACTGATATATATGTATATATAAATATATATATATTAAAAAATAGGTCCATCGCCTTACTTTGAACCAACAATTCCAGCATCTCACTTTATCAGTTATGGAAATAGCAGCTATTCTATGGTTAGTCCCAAGATGACCTGGGAAGAAGCAAGGAAGAAATGTGAATCTGAAAATTCAAAACTTGCCAGCATTGTAGACCCCTATGCAGAATCATTCATATGGCTGCAGGTGCTCAAATATAAGGAGACTGTATGGATTGGACTAAGCAGCAAAGAGGTAAGAACAGAATCTACACGTTCACAATGAAGTCCTATATTTAAAATTGTATACATTGGAAACATTGTCACATAGATAAGGAACTCAAGACAAGTGGTCCCTTGTGTTCCTTGTTTAGCAGCCATATTTGGGACTAGCAACTTTATTGTTAAATAAAGAGGCCACTAAATGAAACTGCAGCTCCGCTCATGATCTTTCTTCCGCTTTCCTTTGTTTTTACTGATCTGCAAAGGTTGTAAATGCAAAGATTATTGATAAAGTTTTATTTATTTATTTATTTATTATTTAGATTTATATCCCGCCCTTCTCCTCGTAGGACTCAGGGCGGCTGACAATCAATTAAAATACATAAATAACAATACAGGTTTAAAATTAATTTAAAAGAAATATTAAAGATTGTCCAATTTAAAATATTGATTAAAACCCCTCTAAAAATTACCCTAGGCCAGTCCTGCGAGCTGGAATAACCAAGTCTTGAGGGCGCGGCGAAAGGAAGGGAGATCAGGGATAACCCTGATCTCTGGGGGCAGTTCATTCCAGAGGGTGGGAGCTCCCACAGAGAAGGCCCTCCCCCTTGGGGTCGCCAGCCGGCACTGTCTGGCCGACGGCACCCTGAGGAGACCCACTCTCTGGGAGCGTACAGGTCGATGGGAGGTAATCTGCGGCAGGAGGCGGTCTCGAAGTGCCAACAGTCACTAAATGAGGCACCTGACATAACATGGATTAGCCTCATTACCCCATTGGAAGAATGCATTTGAAAACAATCTATAATTATTAAATTATAATTTATATAATTTATAAAACAACAACAACAATAATAACGATATTGGAAGGGACCTTGGAGGTCTTCTATTCCAACCCCTGCTCAGGCAGGAAATCCTATACCATTTCAGACAAATGGTTGTGCAGTCTCTTCTTAAAAACTTCCAGTGTTGGAGCATTCACCGCTTCTGGAGGCAGGTTGTTCCACTGGTTAATTGTTCTAACTGTCAGGAAGTTTCTCCTTAGTTCTAGGTTGCTTCTCTCCTTGATTAGTTTCCATCCGTTGCTTCTTGTCCTGCCTTTAGGTGCCTTGGCGAATAGGTTGATCCCTCCTTGTTTGTGGCAGCCCCTCATATATCAGAACACATGCCACTCCTAGTCCTTATTTTCATTAAACTAGACATAGACGATTCCAGCAGCCGTTCTTTATATGTTTTAGTCTCAAGTCCCCAGATCATCTTTGTTGCTCTTCTCTGCACTTTTCTAGGCCCTCAACATCTTTTTTGCATCGTGGTAACCAAAACTGGGTGCAATATTCCAAGTGTGATCTTATCAAGGCATTATAAAGTGGTACTAATACTAATACTTCACATGATTTTCACCTAATGAGTGCTTTATTTAGCAATGTAAAACCCCTGTCCCAGTTAAAGTTTTTAAGTGAGGACTAGCTATAGTGAAATTAAATGAAAAATACTTTTCCTTGCATTTCCTGTAATTATGCACTTTGGTTTTAGAGTAATGGTGTGTACAAGTGGGTAAGTAACTGGAGGCTGGCATACACTAACTGGGCTGCTGAGGAACCAATGCATAAAACAGCCTGTGTCTATTTAAGCATTGATGGTTATTGGAAAACAGGAAATTGCAGTGAAAAATACTTCTCTGTTTGTGAAAGATACAATGGTAAGTAAATATGTCTATTTTAATAGAGTTTATATTTTAATTTAACAGTTCATGCCAAATTACTATAAAATGGCATGCATCAACAAAGTGATAAGCTAATTTTTTAAAATAGTAGATCTAATAATTTTCAATCAGAAAATGACAAATTTATGTTATACCTTACTGTATTATTTCATTGTAGTTATTGCTTATTTATTAATATTGCTAGTTATTGTTAATAATATTTGTAATAATTTTGTGAGTGGCTAGTTGCTGATGTATGGATTTTTTTTTATAATGAAAACCTATTTGTTTCATATCAGGAATAGTCCCAACTGAAAGGCCACAATCGGCAGGAAAATGCCAAACCTCCCAAAAAAGACATGAACCTTGGATTCCTTTTGGAGATCATTGCTATAAATTTTACCTTTCAAGAGAATCTTGGCCATCAGCAGCCCTGAAGTGTACTCAGACAGGTTAGCATCATTTTGAGCTACATAATAATAACAGTACTTTTTCATCCTTAGGGTCTATATTTACAGTATTTATATTACAGTGATTTTGTATACACAAATCTGTGTCAAATTCAGCCATCCTCTCCAATTTTTATCATATTATATTCCACATGAAGTTCTTGAAAGAACAGACTGATAATGTAGGAAAATACCTTATAGAATGAATATAATGCAAAGATAAATAAATATCTTTTTATTTTTCACATCTACTGAAAATAATTACTAAAAGGAAGGTTTTCATTGAGCAAAATCCTCTGGTGGGATGAAAAGTTATTTAGCATTAGCCACTAGATTCATTCCTTTAAGCCACATAGCAGGTGTAATCACTTGAGACTTGGCATGGTTGTTTAAGGGCCTTCAATATGTCTGGACATGCCTAGAAGACATTGGCACATGACAGCTCAGAAAGCAAAGTGGCAGTGGCTTTATCTTACTAGCTGCCCTGGTAGGATTATCTTCTGGATACATTCACATAGACTTAGCTGAGCTCAAGAAGACCTTGATACAACATTAAACTTAACCTTAAAGGTTAACATTAACCTGGATGGACAGTTAAAGGAAATAGATATGCCTAGCCCAACAAAGAGAAAGATAAGGGGTGATATGACAGCTGTCTTCCAGTACTTGTGGGGCAGTTTCAGAGATGAAGGGGTTGGCTTATTCTTCAAAGCACCTAATGTTAGGACTAGAAGTGATGAGTGGAAGCTTGTTAAATAAAGATCCCACTACTACTACTACTACTACTACTACTACTACTACTACTAATAATAATAATAATAATAATAATAATTTGTATTTTGTTATCTTCTCCAGTTCTTTCTCGACTATTTTGCTGTCTCCAGGCACTGCCACGTCCACTATCCAGACTTTTTTGTCTTTCTTATCGACAATTGTTAAGCAACATAACACCCCGGACTTAACAATTGTCAATAAGAAAGACAAAAAAGTCTGGATAGTGGATGTGGCAGTGCCTGGAGACAGCAGAATAGATGAGAAAGAACTGGAGAAGATAACAAAATACAAAGATCTACAAATAGAAATAGAAAGACTGTAGCAAAAGCAAGCAAGGGTAGTACCAATAATAATAGGCGCCTTGGGTGCAATCCCAAAACAACTGGAGCACCACTTGAACACCATTGGCATTGACAAATTCGCTATTAGTCAATTACAAAAGGTGGCCTTACTAAGAACTGCTTCCATCCTGCGACGATATCTGTAATACCATCAAACATCCACATCTGCCTATCCCAGGTCCTTGGTAAGGACTCGATAGGTAGACAAAATGCCAAATCCAGTCTGAACATCTGGCTGACTGTGTGATGATCCATAATAATAATAATAAAGTTGGAAGGGACCTTGGAGGTCATCTGGTCCAACCCCCCTGCTCAGGCAGGAAACTCTATACCATTTCAGACAAATGGCTGTCCAGTCTCTTCTTAAAAACTTCCAGTGTTGGAGCATTCACCGCTTCTGGAGGCAGGTTGTTCCACTGGTTAATTGTTCTAACTGTCAGGAAGTTTCTCCTTAGTTCTAGGTTGCTTCTCTCTTTGGTAGTTTCCATCCATTGCTTTTTGTCCTGTTCAGGCACTTTGGAAAATAGCTTGACTCCCTCTTCTTTGTGGCACCCCCTGAGATACTGGAACACTGCTATCATGTCCCCCCTCGTCTTTCTCTTCATTAAACTAGACATACCCAATTCCAGCAACCGTTTCTTATATGCTTTAGCTTCCAGTCCCCCCTCCAGTCACTTAGAAAAGTGAGAGCAATTAACCATTGGAACAGCTTGCCTCCCAAGTTTAGGGTGCTCCATTACTGGAGATTAGACATTTTTTGTCCAGAGTGGTATAATGCTTTGGGCAGGAGATTGGACCTGAAGACCTCTAAGGTCTGTTCTAGCTCTTTGATACTATGACTCTATGACACATCTGTGTTGAGCCTTCAAGCAAAACACAGAGTGTGCCTGGGTACTTATCTTTTATTGTTTGCTATAATTTTGTTTTGTTTCTATAGATAATGACACATGTGCTCTTCAAATTGCATATGATATAAGTGAATTTATTTTAATATCTTCTTTTTTAAAAAGAATTGCATATATGATATCAGAAAGCAATAATTCTAATCCTTTTAAAGCAACTTATAAATATAGAATATTTTGAAATATCAACTACTTTAGAATACTTAGTTTTCTTTGTTCTTTCTCTTTGGGGTGGGACTTCTCAAATACTTTGGAGAACTTAGAACAGAAGTTTGTCGTTCTGTACATTGTGCAGAATACTCTTTTTGCAAAATGTTTGATTAAATTATCAGGTTTAACTTCTGTATCATTATACCCAAAGGAGAAGCTGCAATGGTGTGTCATCATAAACAAATTAAGCAGTACAAATCTAATAAGTTTTAGAAACAGAGGACTATTTGCTTCTTTAAGATATTCAAACCTGAACTCATTACTTGTGATGGGTATGACTCAATGGTTATGCCTTGTGCAATGGCTTCTATTTTGGTGGGCTGTGGATTGAACCAGTTAATGAGTTTCCTTGATCATCTCATGTTTCATAGGTGGTACCTTGACTTCAATCAAAGACTCAGCTGAATTACAGTTTTTACAGGAAGAAATGGAAATATTTGGATCTACGGAGTTTTGGATAGGCATGTATAGTAATCAGCAAGGTAATTATTTAACTAATATTTATCTATATAGCTAGTAATAATAATCCCCTAGTAAAACACTGCCTTGATATGGTTGTGGAGCTTGTGAGCTCTGGGGAAGACGAGAGATATGCCAGATATTCAATCATACCAGACAGGTCTTATCAGAGATGCTGGACAAAGAGGGTCTCTCCCATAAAGAATATGGTAAGATGTGATTTACAGAAACCCATACCAGATCAATCATCACTTTGGATCAAAAGGATCACATTTAGTGGTAGAGTTCCTAGATATCTCATGACAAATGGTTTGCAGGACTCAGGACTGTTGGCTGAGCAACTCAGAGCCAATAGCTGCAGGATTGCTAGATGAAAAGTTGTTTACTCATTGCAAAACAAAGAAATAATGATCTGTTATTACAAATCAAGCGCAAGAGAAGAAGAAAAGAATGTCCAGTTCTCGAAAGAACATCCAGAATCAGAAATATCAGAACAGAGGTTATTGATTAAGGAGATTATTTGTAGTTCAGAGTTGAAATGAGGGATCTCTGAACTTGTTTTTTTTTTCTTGCAGAGATTTCATTACCCAAAATATGTAACAAAATCAGTGCTAGCAAGGATGGGGTTTGCTCTCAATTTATATTCTAGTGACTTGTGCTATCGGCGTTGGTGGGACTGGTCTTGGAGGTTTTTGGTTGGGGTGTTTATTATTAGCTTATTTGGCAGTTCCTTCTTTGGGGTATTATTTACTTGACTGTTGGTCTGATGTTAATCTTGGTGTTAATCTATGCTCATCTAGGTATTGATTGCTGGTCAGGAGGGTTTGGTGTTTTTGTTCCCTTTTTGGCTTGCTGATTGTCTCTTTTGCACAGTATGTAGATGTTGTTTATGTCTATGTGTCTATAGAGTGCTAATTTTTCAGAGCTTAAAGAAATTTTAAGAAAAAAAGCCATAGGATATATCTTTTCATTACAATGTAGTTCTTTTTCTTTTTAATTATTATGCTATATATTTCTTTTATCTTTAGGTGAATGGCTATGGCAAGATAAAAGTGAAGTCGCTTTTGTCAACTGGAATAATCAAGATGATGAACAATATGATAAAAAAGAGGCCTTTGGGAACAGATGCATTTACACGAATACTAAAACTGGATTTTGGTTCCCTGAGTACTGCCAATATTCATCAAAATCATTTATTTGTAAAATAAACAAAAGTGAGCCTTATTATGATTTTTATCATAATATTAGATTGAAAATATTATTTGTGTACTGAATAGATATTAAATCAGAGTTTCCCAACCTTTCTGACTTTGCAGACCAGCCAGGAGGGGGGGAGGGTTCCATGTGAGCAGAGGGCAAGTGTTCATGTGTGCACAGCTTCATTTGTACCTGTCGCTCATGCAAATGGAACGTGTGGGCCCAAGCGCTTGTTGGCTGCTTACACAAGTAGGGATGGCGTGTTGGCTGGCGTGTTCACTTACCACTTCCAAACCCCAGTTTTAAACAGCTCAAGACCTGGAAGTGGGGAACCCTGCATTAAATTACAGTTTCCTAAAATACTCATGTCCCTCTATTTTCTGCCTATATGGTATTCTTTGAAATTATTCTTACCATGTCATTATCTATTCACTTTTTAAATACATCCAAGGATATTTGAAAAGTTTTCTTGAACAGGTTTTTCTAACAACATATTTTAAGAGATCTCATCTTGATCTATTGTTATCATCTTTTGTTGGTATTATTAATTTTCTTATATCTTTTCTTATTTTTCTTGATTGTTAATTATAATTTATCTACTATAAAATACATCATCTGTTTTCTTTCCTTCCTTCCTTCCTTCCTTCCTTCCTTCCTTCCTTCCTTCCTTCCTTCCTTCCTTCCTTCCTTCCTTCCTTCCTTCCTTCCTTCCTTCCTTCCTTCCTATCATTTTCTCCTTATTTAATTTCTGTTTCAAATAATTTATTATCTGAAATAAAATAGTTGGAGTAAAAGTAGAATACATTGAAAAATATATTAATTTTTGATACCAGTGACTGAATATCATATTTTAATATAGATAATTATATTTTTAGCAGTTGATAAAAGCTTAATGAACAAATTTCCTTTGCATCATTTTTTGCCCCTTAATTATTATGTCAACTGTTTTATAGCATTAATGAATTGATCCCATACTTGCAGGTCACAGAACTGAATAAAATATCAACAACCAAGGATAATGCTACCTAAAGTGTATTTCATAATATTTTAGACAAATGTCGAAAGTAGGAAACTTTGGATTGCTTTGTATGTTATTACTTCTGACATTTTGTATTTTTAGTTATATATTCTATCTACAGACTAAAATATGACTTTCATTCTTAATTATTTCTGAAAGATGCTTTAAATACAGTCAAGAAAGTTTCATTAAGCTAATGAATATCCCATGAACTCAGATTCATATCAAACAATATCAACTTTTAATGGAAACTCAAATATTTCTGGAAAAAAAACTGACATTATCCTATAGTGTATAATTCTTCTGGACTCATAAAGTTTCACTGTAAAAACATGCTGAATCATATGTGATTCAGAGAATTCATTTTTTAAAATTTGCCTTGCATATCCTTCATAGCTATCTTTGTGGGGTGCGGTAATGCATATACAGTAGTTACATACTGAAAAGATATTTGATTATTTTCTAGTTATTGACGAATCAGCTGTAAAGCCTACAGAAATACCAGGTAAGAAAGTAATTTTAAAAGAGGTAAGAATGTTATTTTTAAAGTTCAGTAAAGTTTTAAAGTTCAGCTCCGAAGCTGTGAAAATTCTAATATATACAGTAGTTCAAATATAGAAGAACATATTTTTGTCAATTGAAAGATTTAGATGACAACGGAATGTATTTAGTATTGTTATGAAGACTTCCTTTATCTCCACTAAATTGTTAAGTTACAATAGTTAAATTTTGTTTTACGTAATTTTCCTATATTAATAGAATGGAAGCCATGAAGATCCCTGAGATGGCTGCCAGTTGCCATTTTCTTTTTCTTTTTTTTCTCAGAATGTATCAGAAATAATATTATTCTTGACAACCTTGAGATTTTGGCAAATGCTACCCAAATATCATAGCTGTCAATCATAAACCACTATATTTTTACAGATACAATATATCATCAAATTACCATTATATATTAGAAAAAATAAAATGAATCGACAGCTTTCTAACATGTTTTGTTGCAGAATAGAAAGAGAGAGCGAGAGACATGGGGGAAAGATTAAAAAAAATAAACCAGTCAAAGATAATATAAAATCTCATTAGATGTCTAAGCGTTTTTGTTTCCACACTGTCAAAGTCCAAAACTGTATTCCTAATTGCCCCTGCAATAGAGGAGATCACTTGGATGATATTTCTGAAACCATGTCTTGAAAGTCTTCCTTCTTCATTTAATGTGATTGAATAATTATGATTGTGTTCAATTAATTTTGATTATTTTCAGTTCCCAAATAAATAATTAGCAAAAAGTGATAGCCATAGCAATTCGCAATTATTTTTGCTAAGGAAGAACTCACATTTCCTAGCCTTGATCTTGACATCAAAAGACTTATCTTCCACAGGCAATAAGTATCAATTTGCTTTGGGATCTGTAATGAATGGGAAAAGACAATGCATTACAGTTACTTCATTTTACTGAATTACAGTTCGTAAATTCTTGGGATTGGTAGTTGACTCTTGTTGGCTCTGCCTTTATTAGATGACTAGATAGGATGCAATCTCTCTTGCCTTCTTTCTCAATGTAAAAAGAAATGTCAGAGTTTTATCATAATATAACTGTATTCAATGCCTTTTTCTTCTCTCTGGTATTTCAGCGCAGAAAGAAGTGGCACCTCAAACAGCACATGGCAAAGCTGTGATGGTAGTTGTGCCAATTACCTTCATAGCCATTGGTGCAGGAATCGCAGCCTATATTTTCTACAGAAGAAGAAACCGACCACAAAAAGTCTCTGCTGGATTTGACAATTCTTTGTATAGTGACAATGTGGTTATTCTACATAAAGATTCACAATCTCCTGTAGACAAACAAGAATTAAATGAACAAATATAACTGGCCCATTGGATACAATATATTTAAAATTCAAAGTTTTGAATTACACTGTTCATAAATTAATACTTTAAAATAGAGCCTGTTAACAAAATGTATTGTCCAGACCCATGATATGAAACGACTGAATTTATTACAGTTACTGAGTTAAAATATATTCTGTTCAGTATACTTTCAAATTAAAGTTTGTTTGTTTTGTAAAGTATCATTTCTTTAATCCAATGGCAACTGAAGGACTGTGAGAATTCAACAAACAGTTTAGGTTTATCTTTTGTCAATTTTAAAAAAAAGACATAGAAAGAGTTCTTTTTCACACTGTCTAGACAGTATACAAAAGTTATTTCTTTATTAAAAATCTTCTACCACAGTGAATGTTTCATTAAATCAGTTATGAATAAGATTCCCCCTTCAAACCTAACTTGAAATGAAGTTTCAAAATCAAACGTTATGCCACCTAAACAGTGTTTGAAATTACAAGTTTCTATTACAAGTTTCTATTACAGAACCGGCAGGGCTTTTTTTTCTCATAGAATACACCGGAATGGTGTTCCGGCACCTTTTTTCGATGAATTTTCCAGTGTTGTGTTCTTTTCCTATTGTTGCCCTTCCTATCCTCATTTGCTTTTGAAAATGTCCCGCTGGCAGTACAGTGCAAGCGGGGTCCCTTTTGGTGCTGTCTGCCTCCTCTAGGAGGAGCCATGAAGCGCCAGAGCACCACAGCCAGAGCGTGGCTTGATTGGCTGGGTCGGACCATGTGGTGTGGAAACCGATGGTGGTGGTGGGAGACACATAAACATGGAAGCTATCTTTCATGAGAGGGTGAGTGAGCCTTTTTCCTTCCCTTACAGAATGGGATGTGAGGTTAAAAAGAGGCAAAGCGAAAAGAAAGAAAGGCGACTGACATGGAAGCTTGCCTGACAGCGGTTCCTTGGGTAATTCAAAGGCTGGGACGTCTACGAAAATCTCTTTTTAGTCTTTTATACTTTATATTCAAACTGCAGAGGGGAAGAATAAGAATAAAGCCAAAGTCTTGTAATTCAGAGGTATTATTATTAATAATAAGAACTCACACACATTGTTGTGTCCTGAGCCTGCAAAAGCAGGCTCGGGACGTTGCAAGAGTCCCGGGCATTTGCAAAAGCTGCCCGGGACCAGACTGAGTGGCGCCGGCCTTGCGTGCATGCACAAGGCGGGAAAAGACCGCCTTGTGATTGGTTGGATTTGCCCGGGGATCAGAAGGTATAAATAGAGGCCTGCGTGCCTCTGCTCGGGTTGTTCGTAGATTGGAAGCAGAGAATAAAGACTTGTTAGAAATGCTTCGTCTCAAGCGCCATTATTCTCCGGACTTAACACTGGCGACAAAGGTGGGATCCAGTCTATACAGCTAGGGAAGCTTGAAGACTCACCCAAAGAAGACCGGAAGAGGAAAACGGCGTGGAAGTCAGCGTTATCCTGCCAGTACGAAATCGCTGGAGGGTGCGTGCAGCTGAAGAAGACCCTGATCCTCGATCATGGCGAAAGTTGGGCATTTAGCGGAATTCGACATCTCTCACCCCTAGAGGTGGGAATCTTATGTTGCAAGTGTCGAGACTTACTTCCGCGTAAACCAGATAAGGGAGGAAGGCTTAAAGGCTGCCACGATGTTGTGCGTTTGTGGGCAAGACGCCTTTGAGATCGCCGAGAACCTAATCGCCCCAGCCGCGCTGGAAACGGTGTCATACTCCGATCTGAAGAAAGTTTTAAAGGAACACTTCCAGCCCAAGCAATCTGTCATGGCTTGGAGGCACACATTTCAACAGAGGGATCAGCGAGCTGGGGAATCAGCAAAAGAATACGTTGCGGCTTTGAGAAGAGCAGCTAAACCGTGTGATTTCAAGGACTTAGAGGAAAGACTGCGTGATCGTTTTGTGTGCGGACTGAGGAACACAGACTTACAGCAGAGGCTGTTCGCCAGGGAAGATGTCTCTTTCCATGATGCTCTGCGAGAGGTTTCAGCAGAAGAAGCTGCAGGTGGGGCGGTCAAGAACATGCGGCCTAAGCGAAGCGCTCCAGAGACCGCCACCATCCACAAGAAAGACGTGTGAGAGGATTCGGAAGAAGATCCTGAAGAAGAGGTGGACAAGCTTTACCAAGCAGCTGGGAGGAGGTCCAAAGATCGTCAGGACAAGGGCCCAGCTGAGCTTCATTGCCTCGGATGCAGTGGACGCCACAAGCGAGCGGAATGTCGGTTCCATTCCGCCATTTGCCGAGCGTGCGGAAAGAAAGGCCACATCGCTGCGGTCTGCCTGGGTCGACAGAAGGTACAACCAAAGGAAGAATTGAATCTGAAAGGTACCAGGGTGCCCAGTCAAAACAGGGTGGGGTTCTGTGCAACACGCTGGAACATTTTAAGAATAGGCACACACAAACCCCTTAAAAAGAAACTATCTCTTAAAGTGAAATTGCAGGGAGTTCCATTGTCGATGGAACTTGACACGGGGTCTGCCCTATCCATCATTTCCCTCAACACATTTCACAAAATCTGCAGCAGCAGTGGCCAGCGAATTTCGTTAAGGCCTTCTAATGTAGTCCTTACGGATTTCCAAAATTCTAAAGTGTGCGTTAAGGGGGAGGCCACCCTTAAGATACAGTATAAGAATTTTGCAGGGCCCCTAGACGTGTTGGTTGTGGGGGGTGAGCGAACAAGTCTCATTGGACTCGATTGGTTTGAGGCCTTGGGAATACAAGTAACAGGGTTACATAAGTTGCAAACAGAGACCCTTGCAGACGTATGCAAGGAGTTTGCAGATGTGTTCAGTTCTGAACTAGGGTCCTACACAGGACCTCCAGTTTCACTAAAGCTAGATCCAACAATACAGCCCATCAGGGTTAAACCTAGGAGAGTACCATTTGCTCTTAAGAGTAAGATTGATGCTGAACTGGACAAGTTGCTCCAGCAAAGCATTCTAGAGCCTGTAGATTCCAGCCCGTGGGAAACCCCCATTGTAATGCCTTTAAAGGCAAACGGGGACATCCGGATTTGTGCTGACTACAAGTGCACACTAAACAAGGCCCTACAGCAACATGCTTATCCTGTGCCTCTAGTAAGCCACATTCTGGCTTCTCTCAAGGAGGGAAAAAAATTTGCTAAGCTTGATCTGGCTCAAGCATATCAACAGCTGCCTGTTGATGATGCAGCAGCTGAGGCCCAAACTATTGTCACCCATCGTGGGGCTTTCAAGGTGAAGAGGTTACAGTTTGGGGTGAATGTTGCTCCTGGCATTTTTCAGAGTGTAATGGAAAACACCCTGAGGGGTATTCCTGGCGTGTGTCCTTATTTTGATGACGTTCTCATCGCAGGTGACTCTCCACAAATGCTGGCTGAGAGGTTAAGGGCTGTTTTGCTTCGTTTCCGAAGAGCAGGTCTTAAATTAAAACAGGACAAATGTAAGATTGGTGTGCACTCCACTG